ATACGGCCTGATATTGATGAAGTAAGGAAGATTAGTAGGAAATGTGGCTATGAAGATGATGGTTTGAATAACAATGTCACAGTGATTGAGAAGGACGGCAATAACAACCTAGATTTTAAACTGAAAAAAAACTAAACCTGAGCAGTAGCGGTGACAAGCGATTGTCAACTCGTTTATCTGGATGCTTATTTGTAAGGTTATTGTTCTGATTTCATTTGGTTCGCTTAGGAAGTTTGTTGTATTATTCGAGTGCTAAGAATATTTGTGATTAAATTATTCTCCTTCTCATCTGTTTTTATTTATAGTTTTATATTCTGCTACTTCTGTTCTTGTTGAAACTTGAACTGTTGTTTCCAACCGTGAGGCGAAACTGAAGAGGTCAAAACTGTGTTTTTTTACCATAGCTTTTGTTTTTAAAGGTTTTTTATTACCATTACTCATTGGAAGAAAAAGTTGCACGAAGCTATCTTTTTTCATTCTGTTTTGTCAAAGATGAGGTTAGAAGTTCTTCATAATTATATTCTTAAAAGTAGTTTTATAAATGTATTGAAAAGAGGAAACCGTTTAACTGATTTTTTTTCAGCCGCTAAATGTGTTACTATTTTAATACAGACCAAAAAATTAAGTTTGTACATTCAGAGCTGTTTTTGTGCAACGCTTTATAAAAGCTGTTTCAACTTCTTTTTCACGTTCTTAACGCAGTTGACTGTTACAGTTTTGTTGTAATTGACGGTTGTATTTGTTTTCGTTTTGAGTTTTATGGTTCACTTTGTGTGAAAACAAAGTTTTTTCGGGAACAAAAATTTTTTGAATATACAAGGATTTATTTCTGCAGCGCTTTCTCAATTTTTTTTGACTTACTGTTAACTTCGTCTTGTTGTTGACCTGCCAACCTGTCAGATGATCTGGCTAAATACAACTAAGCACCTTTTCTGAATCACATAGTAATTAAGGTATTATGAAGTTCTAAAGTTTCGTGTGAATTTGTAGAGGTCAAATAAATAAAAGAAAAGTTTATTTTAGGAATCTAAAATGCATATAAATCAAAGATAAGGTAATAGTGGTATAAGTGTTTCAGTAGTTCGGTTGAAAAATTTGGTACACATTAGGACGGTAGAAGTCGAGAAAATTTTTGAGAAGTCTTCTCGTTGCGCAGTAGAGGTATACAATGGTGGCGTCTAAAAAATTGCAAACTAGTTTAGGGGTTCTTGCCGCTTTTTGGTAATACAGCAGACAATTGGGTGTTGAAAGAATTTTGAATAATGCGCGAAAAACTTAACGCCACACGAAGGTGGGGGTTGAGATGTTGGTCAGTTCAGAATTTGAATTTGACAGTGGGAAATCTTGATCGGGAGATGTCTCAGAATGGCACCTCTCATCTAAAATGGACCTACAGTGGAAATTGTTCGTATAATCAGTTGCTATAGCATTGAAATGTAGAAGTGGGTGGTTCAATGTGAGCTATAAAGGGATACGCTTGAATTTTTTAAACTTGGTCTTATTTTTTTCATGAACGCTAAACGTTTGCATATAGTGTTTGTTGGCTTTTTTAAGTGAACTGTTTTTTAGAAAGTTAATATATTTTTTAGCTTTCTTACAGCTTTTGTAAAGCTAAAGATTCTCAAACAATCTTCATGCATGCATTTATTTTTTGAAAGGAAGAATTAGAAAACTTAACTTTCCTCGAAAGTCTGAGAAAACAATACAGCGAAGGGACGTGTAGAGCAGCAAAAAAAACCGGAAAAACGTAAAAAGTGAAATAAGTTTAAGAAAAGTTAAATCAGTTTTAATTGATTTTTTGCGTATTATAGTCATTTGTAACATCGACTAGAACAATCCAGGTCTACTGCAATAATTAATTACCAATTATCTTAAAAAGTAACTTGCTCTATCACCTCAAGCTATCTTTTTAAGTTACCTGAGAAGTTGTATTTACAAACTGGCATATATAGTGTACTGTAAGACGAAATCTGTCTAGCGATGCAGTAACCAGATGAAAGATGCAGGAAAACTGATTGCGCAGTAAATAAGTATTTATCACTTTGAGTTCAGTTGGCACTCTATTACACGAAATAAATTCAGAAACATCAACGTAGCCTAAGTCAAAGAAAAAAGCACCTTAAATGGTTATGAGTCGGTCGAGATGTACGAATTTATAAAAACGTAAGGCTGCATGCGACAAATGATATTAAAATGCATGTTCCGACAATACATTTTTTCGTATTCTACCATTTAACAAAAGCAGAAAGCTTGTCGTTTTTTGGGACAACTATAACGTGCTGGCTGCTTATGGAGCATCATATATGTAACGTTGAAAACTATCATGACGTGTGTTTTTGGTGCTTCGAGATTGCAAAATCGGATGTTTGCTAAGAAAGATGAAGAGCTGCTAGGTAAGCAGTTAAATCACTGACCTAAAAAAACCCAGCAGTAAACAACAACTCGATTAATCACCAAATGTTCAAC